CATAAGCTTTCATAGACTTAAGTCTACTTTGTCAGAAGCATCTATCAGAACCACCATGGGAATAAGAGTAACAGACCTACTTTACAGGCTAGTTGACTGGATTATTGAGATATTTTGAACATCTGTGAGGTATGTTTATTCATATTGTTCTTAAATCTTCCACTGCAATAGAGTAAGGATGGCAAGATTGTATGTATGTTTGTGTGTATGAAACAGAAAGAAAGAGAAAGAGAGGGTGGGGGATCTGAAACTTCAAAACAGCAATGTAAGCTATGGAAATTAGACTTTCAGTTCCAGTGCTGAATTTGCTTGAATCCAAATGGACAAATGTTTCAGGGCTGACATTCACATTTAATATTTGTTCCTGCACTAAAAATAATACTGAACCAGACCGTAAACAAAATGACAGGGCACAATTCTTGTCTGACTGTGACTAGGAGTTAAATTTTAGCTACAGAAACTGTGCATTATGAGTGGAGGGTCAGGGTCTTCTATGACAGTGCTGTCTGCTCTTCCTAGGAGAGAAATAGTCTCCCGATTGCCTATCACATATTTATAATTGGAGTCAGCATCACTGTTGGATGCTTCAAAGGCAGAAAGAATCATGAACCTCCTGGCTTTCCAAGTATTTTCCCAATACCTCCTGCCTGTATGTATGTAATGCTATATAATTTGGATAGTGTGAAAGATGACCAGCAGGAAGCTCAGCCTGAATGTCTTCCAGGGTGAAAGGAGATCTTCTGTGAGCTCAAGTCTGACAGAAATTGTGTAGTTTGTCTCATGTAACTGTCTGGGAGAGAAAAAAGAAACAGAGACTGTAGGGCTAGGATTGCTACCACACCTAAGCCCAGGCCTACAATATAAAAAAGTCTGCTCTAGAGAGGCAATGGCCAGAGAGACTGCTATAACCTCACTGACATCACTCCTGAATATGGAATCTACCTCAGATTATTATAGACCAGACAGACAGAGAGGATACTCCTGCTAAATATAATAATATTAGGAAAGCAAGTCATTCTTGTGGCTTTTTTAGGAAACTTGGAGGAATCACTAGTTTCCCTTTCATGACAACCTTTAAAGTTTGATTGAAACACAAGCATGTCATGTGGTTTTAAAGTAAAAACAGACAGACTGGCAATCCTGTATCAGCCATTTCCTAAGGAAAGGTCAGATATCAGGCCACGTTTTGCTACTGGAATAATCTCAAACAGCTAGTCTCCTCATTACAAGAGGTTCAACATTCCATGGTGGCACTGTCACCAAGTTAGAACTCCATTGAGTGGTGATATTCCTGTCTTCCATTTGCAAGAACAAATGGATGGGCAGCATGTAATAATGTGATAGCTTCAATTCATGCACATGAGAATAGTGTTCATTACTGCTACAACCCTGTATGTTTTAGGAAAAATGCCACTGAGACATGATAAGCCATGGCAAGTATAACTGTAGTATGAGCTCCCAAGATAAATTCTTCTGAATGATATAAGGGGATGATGTCATACCAGAATTGAGATGCTACCAAGACGGATAATGAAGGATTAATTGTCCAAAAGAAACTAGCTAGACACACCTAG